AAACTCTTCGACAGCCCACGACCGGTCTCTCCCTTTTTCCGGGCCATCAGGTAGGCGCAGTCTCTGAGTTTCCGTCAACCTTATGTCCTACGTGAACATCATAAACGAGGGAGTCAGTTGAGTTTCTCGTGAAAACCAAATTGATTTGAAAATGAGTGTATTTCTCGAAAACAGCCCAATTTGGGTTCAAGTAGAACGATAAGGTTGACGGAAACTCGGGGGCTGCGCCTACCTGATGAGCCCCAAGAAGAGCGAAACCGGTGGTGGGCTGTCGGCGAATTTTCAGCAGCCTTGTGAGATGTATCCTTTATGAACTAGAGATCCATATTGATAAGGTGGTGGAATTTCGGTGTATTCCTTGTTAGTTGGTCAGGTGGCGTTTGATCTGTTAGTCTAAGCTGAAAATCGACTTGCAAACGTTCCGTCACCATTCGAGAAGACATCCTCAGTGCGTTGGGTTGCAAGCAGCATTGCTTGGACCTTTGAACTGGATCAAAGTCTTGTGGATGCACTCCGTCAACATATGCTTTTGGATTTTTTTCAAGGTTTAAACGTTGGTCCGTTTTTGAGCTGCGAGCAGATTAGAGTCATCATGAAGAGCTTGAACAAGCCACCGAAGTACTGAGACAGATCTATCCACAAGCCACCGAAATACTGAGACAAGATCTATCCTAAGCATCGTTATTGCCTCATTAGGTCTTCTGCACCAATGACTAGAAATCAGACCCATCATGTACAATTATCTTGGGAATTCACTTTCAATTTCTTATGACATACACATCCGGTCAGCGCAAAACCGTTTTGCAAATGAACACAGACAACACCAAACGCGTGTTTGATTGGCTTTTGTCCAAAGTTACTGATTCGATGGCCTAGATAATAGCAATTTACTGACCGGATTCTTGCCGTTCTAACAGAGCCGATTATTTTCTCTGTGTGTACGCAGTGGATTTCTTCATCCAATCTGAACAACACTATGCGAGGCTCATATGTTCGCTGTGATGGAAAGTTCTGGGACTAACGACGTTCTGGCATATACAGAAAATCCTGGTGTTAGGCGAAACCCTGCACCAAAACCACTTGCAGTTAGGTTGTGCTAAAGCCAAGAATCCTAACCCTTACGTCGTTAGCCAGAAGATTGTGCCGCATGCCGGATACGGTATCAAGGCGAGTTCTGATTGGCCGAAAGTCTGAGCCTAACAGCCAATCACGATTCAGTATCCGTCAATGGCGTGTCCAGAATGCGTTGGCATTCACAGTATGTATCGTTCCACGAACTGTAAATATGGCGGTCTGTTCACGTGTTTTTTCGGCCTGGTTTTGGCACCTGATACACGTTGCGCACCTCTGATGGTTCCTTTGATGAAAGGCTAGCTTGGGAAGTTCAGACGGAGAACTGAGCTGGGGCATTACCGCTTTACATCACGATATACTGTGGCTAAAAAAAGACATTAACCGAGTAGAATAATTCCCGCATTAATCTCTTCAAAGAGATGCCATTCCCCAAGATAGTCAGCTCACGGTAAGAACCAGCTGAAAGTATCTTCCAACCACGCAACCTGTTTTTGTTTATCCAGCCACAAAGGCCCAGTTTACGTCCACATCACTTTATCTCGAGGTTCATGTTATTCCACGCATATATTTATGTTGTTTTATCGTCCAAACAAGCCTCCGGTTGGGCTTTCTCCCTTCCACCGTAATTCAAGCCCCTTCCCACAGCTTCCTACCTATGTGGTGTCACTCCTTTAGGGAGTTCACGATTTCGTTAACTATAGCGCGAATTTACTGACCGGAAGGTCAGTGGTTCGAACCCAACCTCTGCCTCTCGACTTCCCCTGTCTAAGCTTGGGCTTGATCTCAGACCTCGTGCTTCCTTTGGAGAGCATGGCAGTTAGGCACCGAAAGGGCATTAAAGCTGAACGACCGTCAGTAATAATAAAAGCAAACCGCAGAAGGAGCCCATTTGAATTTTCAGAATAGAAGTGCACATCAAGTCAAAAATTTTTTGGGTTCATCACACAAAACCCAGGATGCTCAACAAAGCCCATTTCGGGAAAAGGATCAAAAGACCTAACTTCCCCAAAGTAAACCCTATAGGTAACTAGCAAGTAGACGTACAACTGAAGAAGATAGACACCTTTATAGTGAAGAACGGTCCTCAAATCACACTTACTGAGGACACCAGATAACATCACCAACAGATCTGACGTACTCGCTTGGATGATTGACCTGACGCATGATCGAATTTTGTCGCACTGGAGGATGAACTCGTAAAATACAGGACAACACAACCAGGCCTCATTTCAAGTTGGGCCTGAATGCGCGATATTAGTCGGTCGTTCTATCCTACCAGTTTCTCGTTCTTCAGACGAGTTGCGTGACTGACTGCTTGTCACGGTTTCTGCGTGAACAGGGACTTTTCGAGATTTCTGGGTCTTTTCGATCGTGGAATTCCCTACGCCGTTATCATTATCTGACTCAAGGAAAGCACGCAACATGAAGCGGAAACAATGGTTATAAGTACTGTTAAGAACGTGTGGTTTACAAACATATTGCCATTGACAGGCTTAAGACAGGATGAAAAGCTCCCAGTTGTTTCTGACCACAAATCGATGGATGGGAATCACTCACCTAGACGAGTAAAGGCGGAAAATTCCAAGGAGCAGACAATGTACTATTGATTTACGCATGAGTGACGAGTCCAACTTCAGAATGTAACAAACAGAGACCTCTTCAGTATTTCAAGGCAGGTATCACCTATCATGATAGTTTTTTGACAGGCGTCAATTGTTGGCTTGAACCAGTGATATCTCAAACGTCAATGGAGAGAGCATATGGAATGAAACGATCTTTCAATTTGTAGGTCGTTGTCGGATCTGTAAAATTCACATTCAGGTTATTCTCGCTCACCTCTCCTGGCGCAATTATTTTGGTGAGTCCAAGCCAAGGGGAGGAAGCACTGGACTCGAGTTTCGCTCTTATTAAAGTTCAGTGCATATCCGATGGCCGTGACGGGGTTGGAACCCTGCACACCTGACATCCACCATCACATACTGGACCCATGTGAATTTTCACGTCTGAATAGGCAAACGTGTTCACGCTTAAACGATGGGACTGACTTGCCTGACGCCTCGAACGACGAGTCAGTAATCGTTGATCAATCAACTTGCCTGTCAGGACTTCCGGTTCAGGTAGCCGCACGGACGCCTGAAACCTACTGGACGTTTTTTGATCAGTTGTCGTTCAGCTGAAGCACCCTTCCGGTGCCCAACTACCATGTCAGGCTGGGATACTGCCAGGTTGTCCAAGCCTAGACAGGGGAATTCGACAGGCAGATATCGGGTTCGAACCACAGACCTTCCGGTCAGTGAATTCGCGCGCTCTAACCACTTGGGCCATCTCACCACTTTGGTTAGTTGTAGGTGTTTGCGAAATTTGTGAAAAAGATTTCACGTGCTGCCTGTGTCATTGTTTGGCTGACCCTGAAAGGGGCTGCGCGTGTAAGTTGAAAACCAATTGGACCTACGGCAAAAAAATCACTAGTTGTTTATCGCTGATCGTCAATCGATACTTATTTCAATATCGACTGCATTCGCAAGTGAATGGAAATTCCAAAGAAGTCATTTTGGAAAACGAGACAGAAGCAGTCCTCGGGCACAAATGATGATAAGAGATGCTAGTCAGCTATTTTGTTTACCAAGTAAACTAAGAGTGTTTCTTCTGAGCGACAACCAGATGTGGGTGACCTTCGTCCTGCACGAGCAAGGTGATCGGAATCACAAGCACAAGAGAAACAAGGTTTGACTGGTACCACCTTAAAACCAATTGGACCTACGGCAAAAAAATCACTAGTTGTTTATCGCTGATCGTCAATCGATACTTATTTCAATATCGACTGCATTCGCAAGTGAATGGAAATTCCAAAGAAGTCATTTTGGAAAACGAGACAGAAGCAGTCCTCGGGCACAAATGATGATAAGAGATGCTAGTCAGCTATTTTGTTTACCAAGTAAACTAAGAGTGTTTCTTCTGAGCGACAACCAGATGTGGGTGACCTTCGTCCTGCACGAGCAAGGTGATCGGAATCACAAGCACAAGAGAAACAAGGTTTGACACCACCTACCTTCAACAGTCTGTCTGATCAGTCAACATTTGGCAGTCTGTGTGGGCTGACAAGGGCGTCAGCTGATCGCCTTGTTGGTTGGTCCATACATTCGTCGAATGGATCGGACTTGCGACCGTAAAACACCGGTGTCAGACATTAGTCTTACTGAAGAGATCATTCAAATTCAAGATGTGATAATCATATGAAAAAAACTATGTTACGAGCAATAACAAAAACAGACCAGACGCCCTCACAGTAAAGTGCGACTTACTTTGTGAATGGATCGAAACAAAACCGCCTGGTGGTTCCGGGACAGACGACACGCAAACCAGACATAAACGGAGAGTGAAGCACCACTCCGGCGACCTTGAGGACAGGGTAGAAGAAAATAAACAAATGCAAAAGATTGCACGCGAGACACTCTGCCTATCGATGAAGAGAGTTATGTAATGAGATGTTTGTACTCCACTATAATCTAATGAAATCCAGATGATGATCACGACACAAAAACCTATGATCCACCTACACTTCACCATACTTCGTCACAAGACAGCGGGACTGCCAAATTAGTCTGTCACAGATAACCAGAGGACGGGATACAGAGCATCTGGTTTCCCATGCGGGGCGAGATGACTCAAGTGGTAGGAGCGCGAATTCACCGACCGGAAGGTCCGTGGTTCGAACTCGAACTCTGCCACTCGACTTCCCCTGTCTAGGCTTGGGTAACCTGGCAGTACCCCAGCCCTCGTGCCTTCTTCGGGTGGCATGGCAGCTAGGCGCCGAAAGGGTGCTACAGCTGGACGATATGCGGTCCAATAGCCGTATCGTTTGTGGATTGAATAAACGTACACAGTGCATCCGGAATGAGTAGGTTCTGTGTGGTGCATCCAAAGGGAACAGATGATCACAGTTATCCAGAAACTCGCAGGCGCAAAACTTCAGTCTTCTATTATAAGGAACAGGGTTTCCAGTAAAAAAAGGAGTCGTACTTGGGGGGTGGCTCTCTTTCCGAAATACTTCATCGGCTCATTTCCCCAAAAAACAGCGCAAAGTAAACTATACATCCTTAAGAATATGACGTACAAAAGTGTCAAAGTTCAAGCTATCCAACAATCACGTAAGTCAGACAACTGTCTGGTTAAACTCCCACATGCAAGCGGCAGGCGAAATTAGATTGGTCAGAAACTTAAACAGTAAGAATTAGGTTTCCTGTAGTGGCAAGCAACCCTGTAGCAGAGTTCCAAGACAAACCCTGTGGTAAAACAAACTCCCAAGATTGGCATGAAAACAACAAAAACAACTCTGAATGGCAGTCCGTACACCAAATTTGACTCCTCAGGGCTGACAAAAATCCACTGAGAGATCCAATCCTAAGCCGGATAAATGAAATGAGCAGGGGAAAAGAAGGTTTAGATTCGCATGTGTACATGCGTTCGCTGAAGAGAGCACGATGACTCAGATGAAAGCAAACGAAAAGTCACGAATCCCTCAGTGAGCAGCTCAATCCATAGTCTCAGGGCGATCTCGAACGGGTTAGGATGGATGAGTTTCAAGTTTCTTAGAACACAAGCGAGAAATCGTCCGAAACAAATTACCCTGTCGTGACAAAGTAGGGTAAAGTAACAACGAGAAAGCCACATTACTACTCGTTTCTGAGATGAGATTTCCGGAAGGGGGAGTGGCTGAACGCCGTTCCTATCGTAGCAACTGTGTGTGAGGTCCTCCTCACGCCATAAAGACGTCTGGAACTCACCAAGCTGCATTGGAAAATATGCAGACTGCTTGAGGATAATGCTTGGTCGTTTGGCGCAAGATGGCTGTGTAAGTCCATTTCAAGGTCTCCATACACCAACAGGTCTCACAGCGTTTGTGTTCATATAAGCTCTGGAGTCAAGGTGTTTTCTGTTTCGGTACAATGAAGTGTACAGGACTGGAAGAATAATTCCACACTCATTTGCCAACAAATTTGGTTTTGCGGGAGACTCACCTGGAACCCAGGTGAATCTCTCATTTACGTTGTTTTCAGCAACCTTATGACTAGTGTATTGCGTCAACAAAAGCTACGTTTTCGTCTTTTCTCTTGTCTCTGGCTTGTCTTGACACCCGCAGACACACACACAGCAAACTTCATCGATGTCTCATGTGAATGAGTTTCGCCAGACATCCATCACCGGGTGCAGTAACACCGAGCGAAGTTGTGGTTACATATGCCGAGCAATTGAACGAAACCAGTGCACATCATTTCCACACTTTCTGGGAAATGCACAAGTTTCAAATGAGTGTGCTGTCACATACTGCAGTCGACACAACATTTGAGAAGTCGGGGTGCACTATCTTGAAGCAATGCTACTTACGAGGTTGCTGAAAACTCTTCCACAGCCTAATACCGGCTTCGCTCCACTCGGGTCTCATTGGCATAGATCCCGAAGCCCCATCAACCCTATTAGAACACTGAGTTGCACGCACGTGGCGAGACACACACATTAAAGCGGCCTTTGTGCAACACAGTTGGCTGGAGAATATCGTAAATGAGGGATTAAGTTGAGTCTCACGTTAAAACAAGGTTGGCTCACGAATATGTTCCGCAAATTGCGTCCAATTAGGAGTTCTCGTATGACATGGATTTGGCAAAATTTCGGCGACCATGTCTACCTGACGAGCACCAAAAAGGGCAAAATCAGTAGTGGGATACCAAAGAGTTTTTCAGGGACCTTACTAGTAGTTCGTTGTGCCTAATGTGGAGACCCTAACTACGACCCAAGGGCACACAACGTGGGTGGACTGGGGTAGAATCTATGACACCTCGTGTATGTCTACAGCTGCGCTACCGTGAAGCTACCTCAAACCGTAGATACTGAGGCTTGGACTCCACAGTGACTCACCACTCAAGAAGTCTCTAGTTAAACTTGTGCTCCACAGCGGCAGTACTCCAATCACGGGCAATATATTCGGATATAAGACAACCCCTCAACAACGACGCCTCTAACCGCCTGCCGTAACTGCACAACGTAAATTTAGTTGCTCGAGGTGCGATGAAATTTGCACACCAACTTGAGTGGACGCTGCAAACATTGGAAGACTTAACAAATAAGTAACAGAGATACGGAAACAATCACGTGAACTGTTTCTACTGGTGCCAGCTGAACCGGAAAAAATCTGATAGGCTAAGAAGTCTTCATTTCCTAGTGAGCGCAGGGACTCACTTTCCTGTGAAAAAAACGAAGTTGTCTCGGTCCCGCGAACCTTACCACTGGATTAAGGGGCGAAATGCCAAGCCACTCAAAAGGGACTGATGAGCCCTGTTGTCCCCAGGGAAGACCACACAGTGTTTCCCTAAACACTATTCTACATGACAGTTGCTTTCTGGGGAACTCGTAGACGTGACGTGAAGCGCTTTTCACCTGAATGCCCACCAAGTTTCATGAAGCCACGCCAATTCAATTTTTCGACTGCAAACCAATTATTGTAGTGTTCCCAGAATCCGATCCACACCAGGGGAACGATGCAAAACCGTGGGCCTTTCGTTACGCTAGAGAAGATATTGTCCGCCGTTATTTGTAAGTTTCATGGGACGTCCGAATAAACTCGCTCGTGATCGGTCCACTATGTGACCAGCTCTACGGCACTTTGAGTCGACCGATTTTTGCCTGTTCACAGGTGCCGATCGTTTTAAATCGCATTACTGAATAAAACAAACGAACGCAGCTGAGTAGGGAATCGAAATCAGAGTGTGGTTGCAGTTGACAGCTCTGCTGATTGGCTGGAGAACGGCTCCTCGAATCGGTGTCACTGTGTAGGGCACCCGAGTTATCTTCGGTTTCGTGTTGCATGACATGAGGATTGCCATCAAGTACCCTCTGTGAACATGCGAATCGATTATTCTGATGATGCAAGCATGGAAAACACCTGAATTTCAACTCATTGGGTCAGTTTCATCCAGTTTTGAGCAGCACGTCATCGGCATACATTCTTTCACTCTTGGGTGGTGTGCGACCACAAGGGTGTGGACAATGACTAATGTGCCAACATGTTGACCAGCACGGGTAGGGGGATCATTTTACAGGTATTTTAAATCGGAACAAATGACGTACCGGCAATGCACGAAAAAGGGGTTCGTAGCAAACTACTTGCATTTTTCTTCAAGCGCAGTGAGACGATCAGATACTGCTCTGTCTGGTCGGGAGGGAGCCACTTCCGCGCAAAACCCATGTTTCTCTGAACTTCTGAGCCTTTGTCCTATTATTTTTCGACGTTTTTTGTCATACCGTGTGCTCGTAATCAGCGCTCTGCCTTCCCTCATGAGATTCACAACTTTGATTAGTTTGGTGAAGAACAAACAGTGAGACCGCCGGAGATCAATTCACAAGTTGAGTAAATGATGTAAGCAAACTGACTATATATACATAGTGCCATTCAGCTTTGACACCATTTCGGTGCCTAGCTGCCATGCCACGAGAAGGAAGCACGAAGGCTGGGATACTGCCAGGTTGCCCTAGCTTAGAGAGAAGTCGAGGGGCAGAGGTCGGGTTTGAGCCAGGGACCTTCCAGTCAGTAAATTCGCGCCATAACCACTTGAAATATCTCGCCCGAATAGGAGAACAGCTGGGAACCTATCGTTTCAGAGGGGTTTGGTAAACAATCGGTGGATTTATTGCTGGGCAACGTTTCGCTTTTGACACAAAAGCTTCGTCAGGCCAAGTGAGTAAGTAACTAGGTTGATTGGGTTTTTAAGGCAGTCAGGGAACCAATCCGTGAGATTCCTTATGACTAGTGACGTGATCAGGGGGGGGGGCGTCTTTATGATGAACCCGGAATATTTTCGTCCCTGCTTCTTCAGTCTAGGACACCTTAATGGAAAATTCCTCTTGGGGTCGTTCACAGATTTCGTTCACCTGTGTTCGTCCAAGGGTGCTGGGACAATTAGTTTGGGGATGG